CTCAGACGTTTTCCCTGCGTCTCATTTTCAAATGTCAGACCACCACACTTGTAACATATGCAGTGAGTAAAATGCATGATTATGATTACAATGAATGTGACTTGAAATTTTTTTGACTAATTAATTTTTTAATCTCAATATTGCTAGTTGGTATGAGTGAAAATTTTCCTTTTTTTCATCCAACATATCATTTTTTGTCCAATTTGAACAATTGTTTTGCACAGGATGAGGTGTTCGGAATTGTTCTGACTGATTGCCTCTTTCCCAAGGTATTATCAGCTAGCCCTCAGGTAGTCAAAACTAGGAAACGATCATACATAGTAATTTGTTTAGGATTATTCATAACAGCACTTCTAAATTACTGTTCCAGCCTCTATGAAACAGAGCTAGAAAAGATAACTAAAGCATAAGTAAAGCAACTATAGAATATATCTATATTTTTTTGGTTTTTGTGTTGTTTTTTGTTTTCCCAAATTTTGTTCTATTGTACTTTACTAATTTATTTGATTCTTTTTGTTTATTTTATTGTTTTTTATTTTTTCTTTTAAATATGGTTTTACATTGTGTAAGCTGCCTCGAGTCACCATGGGCGAATAGGCTGCAATATAAAATAAATAAATAAAATAAATATCTACAGAAAAAAATGTGAGCCAAAATAAACACTAAAATTAATAAAGTCTTGTCTCATACACCAGCTTTTAACAGTGATTCAAAAGAAGAAAGTGTACAAAATTGACATGGCAATACTAAGATATAGTAGAATAGAAGACAAAGAATGAAAGAAGATAAAAAGTATCAAGTTCTGAAATAAGAAATAATGAAAAACTGTTATTACAAATTATTTTATATCAGTTTCTTTTTATTCTTTTCTAACTTTATCCAAGCTGCATTCTTGATGTATTTGAAGGCCAACAACAGCTAAAGAACTGGCAGCTGCAATTTCACACTATTGTCCACACTCTGGATAGGAAGACCATCAAAATAAAGACAACCAAATCATGGCCTTCATCCAAGTAGTGACATTGGCAGACTCTACTTACCAAGGTGGGTGTGGAATATCTGGAAGAACTACTGGGACCACTAAATAGATAAAAGTCATACAAAATGAAAATGCTAAAGTGCTCTGGGATTTTAGCATCTGAACAGACAATAAACATCCACATATTGGAACACCCAGAATTAGCAAATGTTGATAAGAAAGACAAAGAGCTGGATGGTGGACATTGCAGTATCTGGAAATAGCAGAATAGAAGAGAAACAATGCAGGGGGGATCACAAAAGACAAAAATCTGCAAATAGAAGTAGAACAACTGTGGCAAGTTTGCTTTGCAAGAAGGAAAAGACAGAACCCAATAGTAAAAGGCTGTTTGGATATAATCCCAAAACCTTTGGGGCACCATTTGAACACCATTGGCATTGACAAAATTACCACCACTCAATTATAAAAGGCAGCTACCTGGAACATTTTACAACAATATCTTTAATACCATCAAACATCCACATCTGCCTATCCCAGGTCTATGGGAAGGGCTCGATAGATGGATAAAAGTGTGAAATCTACCCTAAATATCTGGTTAACTATGAGATGAAGTATAATAATAATAATAATGCTGTTGAATATTGCATTGCCATCCAATCTATTTTTTAGTTATTATTATAAGTCTATCCATTCAAGACTTTCCATCAAAATCACTCACCATTTAAATTTTGCCCAATTCTCCATTCACCATCAATAGAGGGATCTGCTATTAGCCCTGTGAGAATTCTGGAATCAAAGGCTGTATCATCATCTTCCAAACCATTTATGAAGAAACTAATTCTGTTGTGATGAACCTATAAATTGACGCATGGAAGAGAAAGTCCTATTAAAAACAATAATCCTACAAGTCTCTGTCAAATTAGCTTGGAATCTACTCTACCAACAGTTTCAGTACAATCAAGTAAAGAACTACAATTTGTATTTACTGTATTAACCACTAGAAAAAATTAAATTCATGTGTGAAAACAGAAAGAAGCCTCAAAAGTTCAAAATCATGTAAAATTAATAAATATTTTAATTCCAAGAATTTCACATATAATATTAATAATGTTTGGCACTAGTGTGATGTGGTCATCTCTGTACATACAGTATATCTATTGGTCTTTTGATGATAACATTAAAAATCTATGAAACAATATTTATTACATTTACATAGCTACACATCTCATTGAAATGTGACCATGCAGCATACAATAAAAATATTCATAAAGTCAAAATATTAAAACAAGTACAATTAACAAACATCAACAATATTATTAGTAACAAGTTGGCTGAGAAAATTTAGGCAAAATCACATTTTATGGGTGAATTTGGATTGAGATCCTTATGGAAACGTGTACTGTGCTTTGTACAGAAAGCATTAAGATGCAACATTAGAATATGTCTAGTTCTTACTCAAGAATCTGAAAGTACTGCCAATTTTGTTAAAACAAACAAACTAGAGTAAAACAAAGAAACAGATCATGGTGAATTGAAAGGAATTGTGAATAATCTTTCAATGTTGTACACACAGGAAACACTTAATTTAAAATAACTGAATTTTAGCCATATATTACCTAAGACAGTAGGTACTTTCTAGCACTTTGCTGGGAAGTCATGGTAAAGGGCACATTAACTCTTAATACAGTACTTAATGCAGTTTAAAATATAGCAATCTCCTTTAAAGTCATTTCAGAATTTAGAAAACACAGTCTGATATACAATTTTAAAAGGACCTAGTAAACAGGAAAACAATGGAAACTGCAATATCTGCACTTTCTCTTACATTCTGTAGCCATCTATTTCTATATTTTTGGTACTTCTGATTTTCTCTAAATCAGTTTTTTTTTATTGCAGAACAAGCAAAACAATGAACACATTTTTCCCAATGAAGATAGTAATCTCTTGAACCAATGTTCACACATAGCAATTACATTCTACATTCTACAAGTCTGTGGTGTTCATCAGATAATATGTGTTCTAGCTCAATTTGTGTTAGCCATATTTGGCTATGCAATGTAAAGGATCTAAACAGGAATAAAATATTTCCCAACTAATAATATAAATATTAGAAGTCTCTCAACTAAATTTTGCTCAATATAGCATTATATATTTGCCAATGCTTTCAGGAATTCACAACCAAGCTTGACTCCAATTCCACTAATTATTTTTATCAAGACTCCTGAGATTCCCATGTTCTCCCTGCAAGATTAGCTACAAGTTTCTCTTTTCAGAAATGTTGTTCATTTTCCATTTTAGAATTTTCATTAGAATTTTGGGTACTTTGTTTTTTCAGTTACCATGTTCTATTAATCTTTTTTTTCCACTAGAAAACCCAACTTATGTTCAAATTCACTTTCAAGAAATCCTTATAATAGTTTCAATCTAATATAACATTATTACCTAATTTGGAATTGAGATGTGTTTTATGCAGGAAGAGTAAAGAGATTATTTACAAATATGATATTGCCATGATATGTGATATGAAAGGATAAGTGCTGTCTTAATTATGGAAGTAAAGAATGATACTGTTTTAGTATATCATATTAACAGTTCCTAGATCTCTCTAACCCTAACTGGAACTCTATTGTTAATAAACAATAAGTTGATAACTAGGCCCCAATTTTTATGTAAATTGGGGAAAATAAATTAATGAAGAGGACTACTGCATATTTCATGCCTCAAGGGGAGAAATCAGAGCATATCCCATACAACTTCCTACATTATAGGAACCAGTGAGGATTTTAAAAAAATGATAGTGAAAAGATTAGATGAATGTCATAAAATTACTACTGAAAAAATTAGATGATTTAGTGTTAAAAGCAATTCCAGAGACACCATCACTCTTATAAAGTTGCCCATGGGGCCTACAAAAATCTTCCTTTAAATTGAGTTGACTCCAGGAGATACATTGATTGGCAACATACATAAGTGATTTACTACTGCCATCTTCTGGGATGTGTTTTGACTTTCCATGTAGGCTACAAGCTACATTCCCTAGTGGCTTCCCATCCAAGTACAGATTAGATCTGATCCTACTTTATTTTTGTTAGATAAGCCAAATTCAGCTAAGTGCCACCAACAAGCTAGATCTAAATTCAAGACAACTACTGCTTCCTTTCTTCCTGTTTTCTATTTCATATTATACTGTAAGCTCTTCCGGGCAGATTTTTATTCTTTTGCATCTAGTAATGTATTGTTCATTAAAATATTAGTGTTATGTGTGTGTATAATTATCTCTCTGTGTGTCTCTTTGTGTCTCCGTCTATCTCTGTGTGTGTGTATGTGTGTATGTGTGTGTGTATCTATGTATGTATGTATATGTGTATATAGAGAGGGGAGAATACAAACACACATATATTATTTTATACACACACACACACACACACACACACACACACACACACACACATATATATATATATACACACACATACATACATACATACATACACACTGCTCAACAAAATAAATGGAACACAAAAATAAGACATCCTAGATCTGAATGAATGAAATATTCATTCATACTTTGAATGAATACTTTGTTCATTGTAGTTTTTTTATTAGCACATTTGTTGAATGGAGGTCTGGATTTGGAATTACACTCAAAATTAAAGTGGAAAAAACATTACAGGCTGATCCAACGTTGATGTAATGTCCTTAAAACAAGTCAAAATGAGGCTCAGTAGTGTGTGTGGCCTCCACGTGCCTGTATGACCTCCCTACAACACCTGGGTATGCTCCTGATGAGGTGGAGGATGGTCTCCTGAGGGACCTCCTCCCACACCTGGACTAAAGCATCCCACAACTCCTGGACAAGCTGTGGTGCAACATGGCGTTGGTGGATGGTGCGAGACATGATGTCCCAGATGTGCTCAATTGGATTAAGGTCTGGGGAATGGGCAGGCCAGTCCATAACATCAATGCCTTCTTCTTGCAGGAACTACTGACACACTCCAGCCACATGAGGGCTACCATTGTCTTGCATTAGGAGGAACCCAGGGCCAACCACACCAGCATATAGTCTCACAAGGGGTCTGAGGATCTCATCTTGGTACCAATGGCCGTCCATCTTGGTACCAATGGCCTACCCCTGGTGAGCACGTGGAGGGCTGTACAACCCCCTAAAGAAATGCCACTCCACACCATTATGACCCACTGCCAAACCGGTCATGCTGGAGGATGTTACAGGCAGCAGAACATTCTCCACAGCATCTCCAGACCCTGTCACGTCTGTCACATGTGCTCAGTGTGAACCTGCTTTCATCTGTGAAGAGCACAGGGCGCCAGTGGTAAATTTGCCAATCTTGGTGTTCTCTGGAAAATGCCAAACGTACTGCATGGTGTTGGGCTGTAAGCACAACCCCCACCTGTAGACATCGGGCCCTCATATCCCCCACATGGAGTCTGTTTCTGACCATTTGAGTAGTCACATGCACATTTGTGGCCCGCTGGAGGTCATTTTGCAGGGCTCTGGCAGTGCTCCTCCTGTCCCTTCTTGCACAAAGGCAGAGGTAGTGGTCCTGATGCTGGGTTGTTGCCCTCCTACAGCCTCCTCCATGTCTCATGATATACTGGCCTGTCTCCTGGTAGCGCCTCCATGCTCTGGACACTATGCTGACAGACACAGCAAACCTTCTTGCCACAGCTCGCATTGATGTGGCATCCTGGATGAACTGCACTACCTGAGCCACTTGTGTGGGTTGTAGACTCCGTCTCATGCTACCACTAGAGTGAAAGCACCGCCAGCGTTCAAAAGTGACCAAACCATCAGCCAGAAAACATAGGAACTGAGAAGTGGTCTGTGGTCACCACCTGCAGAACTACTCCTTTATTGGGGATGTCTTCCTAACTGCCTTTGCTTTCTACCTGTTATCTATTCCATTTGCACAACAGCATGTGAAATTGATTGTCAATCAGTGTCAATC